CCCGCCGCCCCAGGAACCCAGGACCAGGACTGCTTTTCCATTTCCCCATCACTGCTGCAGCCTGCATCACGCCATCACCTGAGTTTAACTGAACCCCTTCTGCTGAGGAAAGGCATCATACTTCAAGATGCAACAGTGTGTAGTAAAATTACTGTTTCAAAGCCAAGGCAGGAAACACAGTGAGAGAAGGTGTTGGGCTTGCTGCAAAGGAATCTTTTTATTTTTCTTGACAAAATTATAAGAATGATATGCGGGAGGAGAAAATATTCCAGTAAATATGGTATAGCGATGAGAGTCTGTAATGTGAGCCTGGTGTTTCAAAGGAAAGTTCTTACATTTGTGGCCCCTGGGCAGAAATTTAACCCATCTTTACTCCACATTTCTCCCTCCCAGACTTGGCTGGAATCCCAGACAGAGGGCGGGGTTTTTTTTTTGTGGGTTTTTTTTAACCCCTCCTCTGCCTTTCTCTTGTGGCTAGTGCTGCTGTCAGGCTAGCTTCTCCGCCCAGTCTCTGTCCTGGTGCAGGACTCTAGGAAGCTAGCTAGCTCTAGGCAATAGCTAGGTAAGGAGCAAGTGTGCCTTCCAACCTTTGAACAGCCAGTGTCAATACCAGACAGCTAGTTTCCTGGATAGCGCCTGGCTCCGTTTACTTAGCCCAAGAGTGTGAATTAAAGCCCGGGTGTTAATGACTACAGGCACTCAAGTCCCTGAGCTGCCTGTGCAGTGACACAGTAGAGCTGGGATCCCAGGGCAGAGACTTGCAAGAGCTGCAAATGTGGTCAGTGGAAATGAACTCTCAATTGAGCTCCGCAGCACGTGACTTCCTATTTCTGTAAGGTACTTCCAAGGGACTTCCTCTGTAAAATCAGCCCGAGTCCCCGGAGATTTCATTCAGTGCCGCAGCTAAGTTGTTACTTCCAACTCGGGACAGAAGTTTTCCCTGAGACTTCGTGTCAGTTTCTTTTCTTTCTCTTCGCCCTGCCTCTGCCAGCTTGCAAGGACCTGGTGGCTCCTGTCCGCGATCGGAGGCTGAATACGCTGGTGCAGATCTCTGTAATCCACCCCTCGGAGCAGGGACTGACAAGATACTCCAGCACGGAAATTGTGGAGGTGAGCATGCTGTGCGCCTGCATTCCTCGCCTGCATTCCTCTCTCTGCGTGTCTCCCTCTCTCAGTCTCTCTCTGGATTTGAGCAAGCAGCTGAAATCAGTTAGCTCATGGCCTGTAGCTATGCAGTCTTACTATCCCCTGTCATTTAGGAAAGCATTCTTGAGGTCATTCAGCATGCCCTGGTAACTTCCCAGAATAAACAAATGAGGGAAGAATTTGCATTTTTCATAAAAGATCTTATTTTTAGTGTTATATATGTAAATTTAAATGAAATGAAAGTACTCAGAGAAATTTTAAACCTTTTGCCCTTTTCATTTTTCCTGTATTCCTCAGTCTGTCTGTGGAAACTATATTCTCAGCTGTTTGTGACTGTCTTTGGAAAGGACAATATTTTTCAAAGAAAGGTCCATAATGATTTTTAAAAACTGTAATGTTTCCAGGCAAAAGATGCAAATATTACTCATCAGATGAGAGACTTCCTATTTACATTTATTGTTACTAATATAACATTCAATATGTGTCGAGAGGAAACTTGTTATTGTGTTGGATCAGACTCAAACGAGGAAGTGTTTCCCCTTTGATTATTTTGTTCTTATCACACATATTTCACAACGTTGGTGGATGCGAGAGAACTTATTTGAGCATCTGGGACTAAAAAAGTGCGGTTTGAACTCCTTCAGCATTGCCTGCCTTTCTTGGACTAGTGAGCCCTGACTGTTTAGAATGAGTTTCTCTGTAAGAAGTGACCTCAGGCCCGGCTGGCTCAGTGCTGACCTGCAGTCTTGATGCAGTTGGTGGAATAAATGATTCAGACTGAATTCCTCTCCTTTCTCTAATGGCAATGACCCAGGGCCTGCACAGAGCCCGGAGTCTGCCCTGTGGAAACTTTGGCTTCCTATATCCTGGTATAATTTGTGGTGAATACTATAATTGAACAAACAAAATATAACCTATTCTTTTAAAGAAAACTGGACTGCAATTGTAAAATGGTTCATTTATATGAAAAAAAAAAGTCAAGCATTACTTCAACTTGATTATTTTTAAAATATTGCCAAAATATAGAAGAAATTATTTATTTTGACATACTTCAAATTTTTGTATTTGATTCTATAGTTGCTTGGGGCTGTTTTATTCACTTCCTGTTCTAAAGTGTTTGACACAGTGAGGAACAAAAGTGGTACTTACTGAATAAAGAGAAGAAAGAATGAATGAGTAAATGAATTGCTTGGGCTTTCAGAAACTCTAGCAAACATCTCAATAATACTCAGCAATACAGGGTGGGGCGAAAAGTAGGTTTACATTGTGAGTACACAAAACATAGTTTATTTTTGTATTATTATTTATTAATTATTGTATGACTTTCCATATTAACAACTGTGAACCTATGCGTGCCCCACCTTGTATAGATAATTTAAATATAGATATAAAATGTAATGTTGGATATCAGCTCTCTCAATATAAGTTCTGAGACACTGAGATATCCTGAGCTAGAGGTTTCATAGGTCAAATCCATCATAGTTAGTTCCTGTCGTTAGTTTTCTAGTCTGAGGAAAACACACCCAGCAGCACATCTGAAAACAAATGGGCATTATCAGGGCATGGCTTTCCATCGAATCATTTCAGAAAGGAAATAGATGGGCAGCATACGCTTCCCAAATGGTTCTTCATGAGAAAATGGCTTCATCTTAATTTGATCAGTCAATATCTTAGCTTATATGCCTAAATTACAGGTTATATCCATTGAATGTGTTCTAAATGGACTGAACAGCTGACCCCAAAGAAGCGTTCTGCAGATAATGAAAATAACGTTGGTTTTCAAAGGATTAGCAGCTCTGACAAGGGGGCAGGGCCATTTACTATCAACAGCTCTATTAGCTCTTTGGGGCCTGGGCCATATTGTTGCCTCTGAGCATTATTTTGTAATTCAGATCTTTATAGAACTATTTCCTAGAAAAACAAACACCCAGACATGTTTTCTGTATTCTCATGTGTCACTGCATGCTGCCCACTGCAGTTGCTGCTTTGTTGAATTAAAGTTGTCTGCCTGTGCTGTTACAGGGAACAAGAGACCCACTGTTTTTGACGGGTGTCACTTTCCCATCTGAGTATCCCATCTATGAGGAGACCAAAATAAAACTCACAGTCTATGATGTCAAGGATAGGTCTCATGATACCGTAAGTACTTGTACTGCTTTCTTTCTTTGGGAAAGGGAGCTGTGTTTTTCCAAACTATTAGTTGTGTGTGTGTGTGTGTGTGTGTGTGTGTGTGTTTCCTTTTTTAATGTAATTGGCATTTTTTCAAATATGGTGTTTGTATTGTGTTGATGCTTGTTTTATGTTTATGGTTTGCTAGGATTTTTTGTTTTCCAAATTCATTTGGCTTAACACCAAATTGGCAATTGGGTAAGAGCAAAAGCTTCCAGAACAGATTTTTCTCTTTTTCAGGAAGACTGGCTTGATCTCTTGGTTTATAATTTTGTTGTTGTTGTTTTAAGAAGTTGCTGAAGGTGTAATACTGTGGGTAGAATGCTAGTGGAAGAAGTGAAATAATGGCTTAAAACTGTCTTGATACTGTAATTACTCTCAAACGGATTGACAAAGTGTTCTACTTTTGCTATTTATTCTTGTACATAATGTATAGAGAGACATTCTCTCTGTATTTCCTGAAGTTATTCCTGGCACCGAAGCAAACAGAGAAAGCAAGGCAAGCACTAGACAGAAGCTTTAATCGTCCTCTTTCCATGAAAGTCATATAAAGTCCAATGATTCTTTTGTCCTAGATTTTGTCAGTCTTCCTACCTGGTCTGACTTTTCCTCCACTTGAACCAGACCTCCTGGGTAGACAGTGAAGTGCCCAGGCAATATTTCTAGAGGCCTTTCTTAAAATTTCTGCACTGGAGAGAATGCTATTGAGTAGGCATTGATTGATAAGGGGAAATTTGAAATATGAGCCTTTTCCTTTAAGTCTCTCCATTTAGCATGCATTTTAGTCTGTTTTCAAGGCAGGGGTCTTGATGGTCAACAGTGAAGCACAAACCAGGAGACACTTTGAAAGCAGGTGGGTCAGTGGGTTCCATGGGATTCTGGATGAAGTCCAGGGATGCTGCTGGACCTGGGGAACCACACAGCATCTGGTCCATGGGAAACTTAATTTTAAACTCTGCCTTCACTTAGGCATTTCTGTCTTGCTCCTCTTTTCTTTCTATTCTTTACCATAAACTATATAGCATAGATGGATGGTGGGGGTATGTAATAGAGACAAAATTCTACACTGAAGCAATTTCTATTTATGTTAGTCCCAGAAAAGTTCATTTCTTTAAAGTTGCAGCAAAAATGTCCAATTAAATGCACGGCATGTATGTGAAATAGAAATAGTTGTGGTGGTCTGGTATGTCTATTATGAAGGCTGACTATCTGGCTTCTGTTATGTTTACCAGGTTTGTGACACTGGGAGAGTTCATTCTCAGTGCCTCTGTTTGTTCATTTAAAATATTTACCTTGTGAGGTTGTTGTAAGGGTTAAATAGGTTCATATAGGTAAATTATTTAGAAGACTTTTACAGGTTAATTAATAAGTTTAAGTTGCTGCTTTTATTGCTGTTATTGTTCTGGCTGCTGCCTCATAATCCCTCATAAAATAGTAAAACTCAATTAAAGGAATATTATCTAAAATCTGTTTTTTATAGTATTTTTTTCTTTAGTGGCATTATGTTATTTCTGACTTCCTTAAAGAAGAGGGGAAACACAAAAGTACTCTGCAACACAAAATTAGGGTTAAAACTGGCAATTAAAAATGTTCTCTTTTGCATTTTATTTTTTTCTTTCTATTTTTTTTGACTTTTGAGGCCACCTGTGGAAAAGGAATGAACTGATCTAGACCAGGTTTGATAGACTATGCAAAAGGCCACGTGCAGATCAATGGCTGTCCCTTTTTTTTTTATTTTTGCCTTCTGCTGGAGAACAGAGAAATGGAGGGACTGGGGAAAAATCACAAAGTTGGGAAGGAGAGAGAGATGGTTCACATGGGTGGCAGGAGGAGGTGATATCACTGAGCAGAGGAGTAATAGGCAGAGAAATGATCAGGATGAGAGGGAAAGCAAAGCAGGAACCATGCAGTTTTATGTTCTTCCAAGCACATGATCAGATTCAACCTTCCCTACAGACCGGAGGCACAGACAGGATTGAAGCTATGGAAGGGACAGGGGTATAGAAACGCTCTGCTACAGGAATGAAAATGTTGCCCCTAAACTTTTGGGCTTGATCAGTTTTCAGAAATATCAGCTTTAGAAATATTAAACACCAAAGGTGTTTCTATCTCCTTCAATCTCCCTCATTTACAGTGTGCAGTATGTTACTGCTTTAGGGATAAATAATTAGCTTACTCATTAATTATGCTCTGAATTGCCTTCTATTTCTGGAAACTAATTCTTTAGGGTCTTTTAGAGACTTTCTTCCTTGATCAGAGGTATTATCACATAAGAGTAGTGGATGAACTGGAATCCCTGCTGGGAAATAAGACTTGTGAAACTTGAACATGCTTGAGAAATGCAGCCAGCTTTCCCTTACCAAGTGCTGTTAATTAAGGCATATAGCCTCTTCCTTAAAATAACTAACAATTAGCTCTGGTGATGGAAGTGTAAATAGGAACACAGTTCATGAATTTGCTAATAGTCCCCATGGACATAGACTTTTCATCCTGGCCCTTTTCTTTCATTTCTGAAGTTTTTCTTTGAGGTGGGAATGGGGTGGGGAAGGAGGAGGCAGGAAGTGTGTTTAAAGTAGTTTATGATTATGAACACTTAATAACCTAAGTATTTTAAGATCATAATACTCTTAAGACTTAAGAAGTGAGATTATGCATATTTATGTGTTTTGGGAAATTAATGACTTGTGTGCATGTATTTAAAAGTAGCTTTAATATTTGCTCCTAGTAACCATTGATCATATTAGGCTAACCCAGGACAATGAAGTCTATTTATTGGCTGAGTTCTAGTTAGTTGTGTCTGGTGATTGAGTTGTTTTTATTTCCCTCTTGAGTTTATGGTTATTTGGAGTTAAGCAGTCAAATAAATTTGTTACTTTGTCATTTCATATTCATTTCCAGAAGTATTCATATATCTTCTTAAAGAAAAATGATAAGTTGTCATCTGTGCCTTCAATGCAGCCATTATCAAACTAGTTGTTCTTGTATTCCTCTACACAACTGGACCTGAGATTGATTATTTTACTAAGGTTAGTAGAAATGCAATTAATCATTGTAACAAATGAGATGGGTCTAACTGTTGAATCAGAATGGCTATTGTTTCCTCCTACTCCATCTTTCAGCCTTCCCATTCATTGCAGCATGGGGAGGTGAAATACGGGGGTGCTAGGGTCATTATGAGAATTAGAGTGGCTTATTATTTTCCTCACCAGGAGGAAATTATCTGTTTTCTACAAATGGGCTAATCAAACATCCAGCTGTTTGGTGGGGACTTTAAAGCTTGACATTATAGCCCGGTGATAGAATATGAGAGCCCCCGTTCTCATGGTGAAGTCTATGCCTGCTGGATGTATGCCGGTTGTATGCTCTATTTTAAAGCTCCTGGAAACTGAAACAGCACAGGCAGGAGTGTTTTCAGCACATCATTTACAGTGCTCAGCCCTAGGGACTCAAGTGGGTCTTTCATAAGTTACAGAAAAAAATCTGAGAGGAAGGAGAAGTTCTTAGAGGAAAAGAACATCACCATCAAAGTTTGTCTCTTTTCCCCTTCTTGCCATGCAGTGATATTTTGGAAGGTAGTGAGCAGGGCTGTTACAACACCCAGGTTAGCACAGCCATCGATCTGCAAAGCATGATTAGGTTACAGACTCGTTTTGCCTGTGGTAGAAATTGGAATTTCTCATGTATTCTGCAGGAGTGCACATTGCTCCATTTCTTTTGCTGTTGGGGTGAATCTATCTCCAACTTGTTAGATGTTCAGCTTATAGGACAGAGTTCCATGTCCAGTAGACACAGAACATTTCTCAGGGGAAGATATATGTCCTAAGACACTTTTTACTATCATTTACTAGCATATCGCCCCCCCCCCCAAAAAAAAAAATCTGGTCACTCATCAAGATTGAATGTAAATTTTTTGCATTGTGTGTTCTATGCCCAAAGCAATTCTAGTACAAGTCTCTACACAGAAGTGTCCAGTTCACTTTTATGGAAAATAAAATCATTTACATTTAATACACTTTGACTTGGCTTGATTTTCTACATTGACTTCTTACGACTTTAAGACTGCCGAAATGCAGATTCTGTGAGCTGGGTGGCCTTCTTCTCTACCTAGAATATATGATGCAGTGGGTAAGGAAAATGAAGTTGAGATTACCGATTAATAGGTACATACAAAGCACTCTGTTTAATAGGTTATGTATACTTTCTTCTTTAGTCTCCATAAAAATTCTTTGAGGGAAGTATCATGTTGCCCGTTAAAGAGAAGAAATTGGGATTCTGAAAACTTCAGTAGGCAAGTCAAAGACCTTTATTTTTTCCAGGCTGTGCTGTGATACATATATTATTTATAGGATTTCCCCCATTTTCACTCCAACAGTATGGGATTTTCATTTCAACTGACACTTTTAAAGCATTCTTGATTTATAGCTTAAAAACTGATTAAGTGAAAAAAAGTCAGTGTTCAACTATAGGAAAAACACTCATGTCCAAAATTCTGAAGCACTGTTATTAGCATGTAACTAATTGCTGATATCTGAATAAATTTTATAATGAAGTGGACATCGACTGTTCATGAAAAATAGCTGTTGTCACCTGTTATGAAATGGCTAAGTTTAGGTCTTAAACTTGTTTTTGCGCTCCCTGACCTTGTTTCTTCCTTTTATGTGTACGTCGTGGTCCTCTCAACCTATTCATTCACTCAGCCTTTGCCTGTTGGAGTGCTCCTGTCCGTATGGTGACCCAGTGTGCAAGGGGAGTTGCGATTTCATTTAGAAGTGGTTCAGGGTTCTAAAACGTTGCTGCCCTTCCTAAATAACTTCACTTTGAGAACAAAGTGACAAGTAGTTGACAAGTAGTATATATTTACTGAGAGCATATTTATATTTTATTGAGGTATAATTTACATACGCTAAAACAGACAGCTCTTGTCAAGGTCTAGAACATTGCCATCATTCCAGAAAGTTCCCTTGTAACTC